CAGGAGTGATCACTTTCACTAACAATAGTGATCACGCCCAGTCTGCACTTCCTTGGTCTTGTGTTTTTGGAGTCCAGACTTGCTTCTTTCTTCTTCCTTGTCATCAAGCCTCCATTTTCATGATCTTTGCTCAAATTATTCCTTCAAAAACAAGATTAAAAACTTAATTCCTAAGCAAAATTTTCACAATTGCTAAGATAGCTACAAATTTAAACAAAACTTCAATTTCTTCTCTTTTTCTGAGTTTTTCTGCTTTCTTCATATATTTTTCTTATCAAATGTGTTAGAATTATGCTAGAATATCAGTAAAAATATGGATTCATCATCTTTTCATAAATCCTTTGCTTTCTTTTCGGTCCTTATTGACTGCCTCCTTTTTCGGTCATTTTGATTAAGAAGACATTTATTTCCTTTCTTCCACATTCTTCAAAAATGAAAAATACGTATATGCAAGAAAGACTCATCTTTTTTCCTTTGATTTTCACTTGGTCGAGAGCCAAGGTACCCTTTTCTTTGATCGTGAAGTAATTATTTCACCACCTAACTATAATTTTACAAATTTTTGTGGTAGAAATTGGATTGCATGTGGGGTTGAGTCTGCGGTTATTTTATGGCTTCTCCAATAATATTGACTTAGAAAATGCACTTTTGATTTTGGTATTCTGTTGAAACTATTGCAACTATTTCCATCTTCCCTTCTTTTCTTTTACTCTTAGACCGTGTGCGCATGATCAAATTTTTCCTTGAATATGCTAGCTCTTTTGAGTGTGATTTGATTCTGTGATTTGTGATTTTGGAATTACACCTGTGATCCAAAAATGAAGTACAGATATGATTATGAAACTGTTCATATGAATGATGAGGAGGATGGAGAGTTAAGGTCACAGTTTGGCACGACTAGGGAATGTAGAATGTTCAGGTTCAAGAGAAGAACCTTGGGGGTAGTGAAGGGGGGTTGCCCCAATGGCGCGGAGTAGCTCATCGTGGCTGGGACACGTCACCATCAAAGCCTTCACTAATCCTGATGCAAGCAAGCATTGCTAAGGATCGTTGAAGAACTCATTCCTAAGGAACAGAGATGAAAATGGGGGAAAATATCCCTAGATATTGTGTAAAGTGTGTGCTCGTAGGGAATGAGGGTCTCCGATCACCTTGACTGGAGGATTGTTAGAAATTGAGGAAGAAGTAGTATCCTAAGTTGCATATGTTTGAACTATATTAATGATTATCTCCTGTGATTCTACTGTGTTTCGTGATTGTATAGCTGGATACATACCTGATATTATGTGTTGATTGGACTCTGATTTCTCATTTACCTGTATGCCATTTAATTATCTTGTTTATTTGATCACTAGTGGATTAGCTTATTAGAACTTACCCTTTCTTTCGTGATTTTTCCCTGTGTGGCATTTCCCCCATGTGGTTGCATGATTGTGTAACAGATGGATCCATAGCGAGCGATAATTTGGGGGGAGGACTCCGAAGGGAAGGAGGCTTGGACGTTTGACCCAACGACGCACTGCCTCATGTACCAAAGGATGATCTCCATGACTATGGGACCTCTCGCTGAAGATGGCTAGAAGCCTAATTGGAACAACCACCTTTTTGCTGACATCTCTGTGCCTTTACCGCGTGAGAGAAGTATCATTATTCATTCACCCCCTTCTTCTCCATCATCTCAAGAACCCCCTGCCAAATGACCTAAAACTTTTGTCGACAAAGGTAAGACCATCATTGACCTCGACCCAGAGCCTACTCCCTATCCCAGTCCTACTCCTGCAACTGAGTGGAAAGACATCGGAGTTGTTGAGTCTTCCATCAGGCCAGTACCCTGTCACTCCCTGCGAATTCAGGCACCCTTTTCCAATGAAGCTGGACCTTCCACCCGACGCCCTTCACCACCACCACCTACTTCTCGTTCACCCCCACCATCGGTTGGATTGATAGTGATCCGGATGACTTGCCGCCCGCTCCTCGCCCTCAGCCAGTGGATGATTCTCCTGATTCTAATGGAATGAAATCTGACCCTAGTGAGGATTTCCTTCCGTTAGAGTTTTATTTATAGATTGTTATTTTATTTTGTCATGGATGAACATTGCTAATAGGTTTTGTGTTGTTTCGCTACTTTTTGAAATAATAAACTTTGGGGTTTTGTTTAACTGTGGTTTTACCTTGGACATTTTGGCTGGATAATGTTACATTTTTTTTTGTATATACTGCTCGTTATACTTTCAGAATTTATTTCAAATGGTATGCGATGCAAAGCACTTATTTCTATTGGTGTTATGAAATTGTTTCCACGAATGCTTAGAGTAATTAATGCAAATGATTGGTATATTGTTAAGATACCGGATTAATTAAATATATATGTATATATATATATATATATATATATGACCTTGTAATGAGGAGACTCAATAGAAGTACTTTGCTGAATTTATTATTATTTTTTTATTTAGCTCGAGTTGCTGCGATGAATTGAATTATGGTTAAATCGAGATTACAATAGATTGACACAGTTAGTGTTGAATAGCATGAGAAGAGATTCTATTATGACTGTCTGTGGGTGTGCCTACGATGAACAATGAAAATTGAAAGTTGAAACTTATTCCCTTGTGAAATGGATTGTAATTAGTAAGTAGATTCGATATGATTTTGATTTGCATGAGTTTTGGTACACATTTATCTTGGGTGCACCGCCTTATAAAAGCCGTAAATTTGGATATAATAAGAAGGGATTTTGATAGAAATTAGGTGTTACATCACAGACCAATAACTAATTGAGCCATATGAATGTGAAAGGTTTGTAACATGTAAAAGTAATAAACCAAAGCAATAAAAGGTAATAAACTTGCTATAAAAATAGAGTACGAATTTTGTGTTAAGATGACATATGAATGAAGGATAGTTAGGAATTTATTACACCAAAATATCAATATCAATTCAACAATGTCTCTGAACATTCAAGTAATTGCTTAATTGACAATCAATTTCACATATTAATAGTCAAAGGTTAATCCCTTAACTCATTGACCCTAACAATAAACTAAACCACCCTAATCCCTTAGGTGAAGTTCAATTTCCAGTTATATTATGAATCAGAACCATAAGACTGCAGAATTAAGTTCACTTATCCCTAACAATTCCCTAGTTCTGGTAGTTAATTCAGATATGAGAATCAATTCCAATTCCCATTGGTAAAAGTTCCTCTTTTATTAATCAATTGAATTTCCTTTCAAAGATTACATTGATAACAGAATCAACCACTCAATTAATCCAAGAACTCAAAGTTTAGAGTCAAGAATCAAATCAATACATCTATTCCAGGTCCACAAACTCCTAACTATGAAGAATTAAGCAAGCATTACAACAAAGAAAGAGAAAGAAGGAGTAGAAGAGGAAGAACACAGAAGCCTCATCTTCAATCAATCCCAGATCTGATCCCTCTAGGTTAGAGCTTGATGTTCGTCCCCAATCCTCTCCCTGACTCTCTCTAAATGAAGAAATGAAGTAAAAAATGAAAAATGAACAAAAGGATCCAGAAATCTGAGCTTTCTCTGGTATTTATAGACTCCCCACAAGAGTGGCCACATAAAGGCTTATATAGTTTCTAGAAGACTGGAACGATCACTTTTGTTGATAAAAGTGATAACGCAGGAGGTCGAGTAGTGTGTGTTTTCACTTTCCTAAGTAAAAGTGGCCACGCGCTAGTTGCCTTAGTACACTTCTCTCTGGAACATCTACTTTCGCCAGCAAGAGTAACCACGCACTACTCGCTATGTGTGAAGCTCTTCTGGAATGCTCACTTTTGCCAGCGAGAGTGATAACGCATAACGTGTTCTTCTAAGAAACTCTCTGGAACACTCACTTTCACTGATAAGAGTGACCACGCCCAAACTATATTCCATAATTCTTGTTCTTTGAGTTTAGAATTGCTACTCTCCCTCTATCTTTCCATTGATCTTTCATCTTCATGAACTTTACTCAGATTATTCCTACAAAAACATGATTAAATTCTTAATTTCTAAACAGAAAATTCACAAATGCTAAAATAACTATGTATTTAAAGAAAACCTTCAATCATTCTATTTTTATGAGTTTTTCTGCTTTTTCTAACATTTTTTTCCTTATCAAATGGGTTAAAACTACATTAAAATACTAGTAAAATTATGGATTCATCAGACTCCAATCTCTCATCCCAAGATTATGCAACCTTAGAAATAAACCCCGAATTAAGCAATTCAAGTTTAGAATCTCATTAAAATGAATTAGAGTTAATTAAGCAATGTCCCCCTCATTCAACCTTTAACTCAATTCAAGAGATTAGGAAGAAGAAATTCATGAAAGAAAATGAATTATATTAATATTCAAAAGCCAAGGAATTCAAGAATTCATATAAAAGCACTAAGGATTACAAGAATGTTTAGCCCTCCATAAGGATAGGCCTCACAATTACAAAATGAATGTAACACCTAAATTACTACCAAGATCCTATCTCCTAAAAAGATATGTAATTAGACTCCCCTAAGATAGTGTACCCATTTGAACATGAACAAGGAATTATTCATTCGACATTAGTGTGGAACTAAACAACAATTTCACAATTTAATTCATAGGTGAGGGTACATTATCCTTCATTTCTTCATTCAATTTGTTCGTTACCAAATCATGCATATTGTATTACGTTTTACTAGTGTACTTGAAATTTCTTCAAATTAATTTCTTTTTATGAAAGAGATAAAGGTGAGTGCTCAACATCACATGCTTCGTGGAATGGAATTCTGAAATCATAATGAGAGACATGTAAATAGGGAGAAAATTTTGATTTTGTGCATATACGTCCCTAGTGTAAACGGTTCAAGGTAAACCATCGTAAAACGAACAAAAGAGAGACCTCATGGTTCAGTATTTCAAAATTAATTATAAACAGCCCCCAAAAAGAAAGGAGAGTATAAAACTTAAGAGCAGTGTTCATCCATGACAAAAAAAAAATAAAACATCTACATATAAAACTCTGGTAGAAAGGAATCCTCACTAGGATCAGATTCCATTCCATCAGAATCAGGTGCAGCATCCACAGGCTGAGGGCGAGGAGAGGGTGGCAAGTCGTCTGGGTCGCTGTCAATCCAACCGATGGTAGGCGGTGGCAATCTCGAGGTGGGTGGCAGTGGTGGAGAAGGGTGTCGGGTGGAAGGTCCAGCTTCGTCGGAAGGTGGCGCCTGAATATCGAGAGGTTGACGAGGGACTGGCCTGATGGAAGACATAACCACTCCAATGACTTTCCATTCAGGTGTGGGCGCAAGAGTAGGGCTAGGACAGGGGCTGGGTTCAGGGTCAAGGTCAATGATAGTTTTACCTTTATCCACAAAAGTCTTAAGACGTTTGGCGGGAGGTTCATGAGACGGTGGAGAAGAGGGAGGTGTACGAATGATGATACTCCGTTCGGGTGGTAGGGGCACAGAGATTTCGGTAAAATGTGGTCCATCCAGTTGGGCTTCCATTCGCCTTCAGTAAGAGGTCCCATGGACATGAAGACCATTCCCTGGTACGTCAAGCAGCGCGTTGCTGGGTCGTAGATCCATCCCTCCTTTCCTCCCGAATCCTCTCCCCAAATCCTCGCTCGGAGTGGGTCCATCTGCCATGCATTCATGTGACATACAACAACAGCAAGACAAGACGCAACACCAGACAAAAATGGAATAGAAAGGGTGAGCTCAATACATTAAATTATCAAAAATCGAATAAGTAAGAAAATCAGCATAATAGTAACGAACCTACTGACTCATAGTTCAATAATCACATTATCATAACATAATATTCATCAAACAGCCACAACGCAAATAAAGTGAATAAGTTCCTCATAACATAATTATACTCAAGGTAATTAAAATGTCACTACTTCTTCAGTTTGTTCCCACTATTCCTCCAGTCAAGGTGATCGGAGGCCCTCGTTCCCTACAAGCACACATTGTATGTAATCCATCAAGAATATTCTCCCAACTTAACCATTTCGGTTCCTCAGGAACGAGTCCTTCCACGATCCTCGGTAATGCTTGCTCGCGTCAGAATTAGTGGAGGTTTTGATGGCGACGTGTCCCGGCCGCGGTGAGCTATTCCGCACCATTGGGGCAACCCCCCTCAACTACCCCCAAGGTTCTTCCCTCAAACCTGAACACTCACATCCCTCAGCTGTGCTAGACTGTGACCTTGACTCTCCATCCTCCATATCATGCACATAAAGAGTTTTGTAACCGCATCCTCCTTACACCATTTTTGAATGCACATTAAATTCCCAAAGGTCACAAACCACATAACTAAATCCACGCTCATAAGAGCTAGCATGTTCAAAGAAAAGAATAACCATTCATCCACAGTCCGAGAATAAAAGAAAAGGAGAGAAGATGGAGATAGTTATAAAATTTCGTTAAAATATCATAGTCGAAATGTACCTTCACAAACAAAATAATCATCAAAGAATCATGGAAATAACCGCAAGTTTAATCACACATGCAACTTATTTCTACCACAAATTTTTCGTAAAATAGTGATTAGGTGGTAGGAGAATTCTTTCATGGTTAAGAAAAAGCGTTCCTTGGTCATACAGAATCAAACCGAGAGAAAAAGGTGAGTAATTTCTCAGTTAAAACAAAAAGGAAGAAAGGTAGTCGATGAAAACCGAAAAGAACACAAGCATTCATATAGTTACTTTAACATGCAATCGAATATTCATCAAAGTTACCAACTTTATTTATTAATAAAGGTAAACAACCGAGAGTCATACAAGGATTTCAATATAATCAACATGCAAAACTATTTCAACCTCAATCAAGTTCACGCGAGTTACAAAACATGGATTTTTAAAACACCATCCAAATAGAATCACCACGAGATGAAGGAAAATGGTTTGCATGAAATTTTAATTGATGAAGGTCAGAGACAAAAATAAGAAGAAGAGAGTGCATGCAGAGTTTACAAGTTAATGAACAACCACATGCATTCAAGCGCAAACAAGAGCTCCCCTAACCTTGTTTGGTATGAGAAAGAGAGATAGAGTGGAAGGCTTGGTCTTGGTACTAGCAGGATCTTGATCACGACTTGAGTCCTTGGTGTTTTGTTGCCTCCTTGAGGTTGGTGATGGAGTGTGTTGTCCACCAGAGAAAAAGGTGAGTAGAGGTTTTGTGAGAGGGTGAGAATGTATCGAGAGAGAAGAGAAGTGGTGAGATTGGGAGTGTTTTTGGAAAATAAGGGAAAAAGGGCGCGTGAGGATTAGAAGGTGTTCTTATATAGTGTGACTTAAAGCTTTGCCCATTCGTCTTCCAAAGGCTGGCTGTGAGTTGCACAAGAAGGGTTTTAGGGTTAGGTTAGGCGAAGTGACACACCCTTTCGCCTTCTCACTTGAATAGTCACGTCTCATGGTGTCCGGGTGCAGGTGATGCGCCTTCTCAAGAGCATTCAATGCACAGAGTGTAAAAGAAGCAAGCCGTAGGTGATCCACACATCTCCACACGCCATTCATCATGATGGAGTAACCGAAATGGGGGTTTGGCCTAGGTAAGAGTGGGTAATTAATGCACGTTGGCGGCTAGGGTTTGTTGTGAAGGGAAGCGGGTTCAAACCCTTCGTGTCCCACAAATTGAAAAGGGTGATGTTATTTTGAGTGGTTAGTGAAAAGGTGGTGCCTTTCTCTTTGCCTTGGATGTGTGGCCAGTGCCATAAAACAGGAAATAATTGCATGTGATTAATGGAGCATAATTTCCAGAAATATGTTGCTAAGTTTTTGGCTGTACATTAAGTGCAAGCTGGCCGCTAGGTCAACTCCAGAAGGAAGTTGAGTAGGTTTTTCCTTTGTTTTTCTCATGAGGTTAAATGCGGTTAAGAGGTAAATTAGGTAACTTTAATGATGGTTTAAATGAGGCAGGAGAGGCCCCTCAGTTTTAAGCAATTTAAAACATGGTTATTAGGAACAAAATAATGTGAATGATTGATTGTTTTCGATAATGCCATGCAATTAATGCAGGGTGGCTACTTAAATTTTCTGATGGAAGGTGGCATCACTTTTGGCCATGCATTCACACAAATCTCCCTAGGGTTTTTACCATAAATACAAGGTAATTAAGGAAGGAATATATATATAGTTGATGTCAGGCACAGTTCTGGGGAATTAATTGCCTCAGGTGGAACGTTTCAAGCTGATTGGCACACCCACTAAATGCATGTAACCGATTGGATTAATGTGGAGGGAATCAAGCAGGCGCCTGATGATGGTCTTTTTCGAGGTGTTTAAAAGATTTGTCGTAAATCCTCATCAAAATTTAAACAAATTAATGTAGTACTAGGGTAACCCTAGATTGTCTCCCATGAACATTGGTTATTAATCTTCATTAAACATGTTGAAGGCATAAATTAAACAAGCAATTAAAATGGGGGTTTTGTGGTTTCAAATCAAAATAAAGAGCAATGAGCAAATGAGTTTAATTAATTCAAATAATAGAAAACAGCAATCCTTAGTTCATCCACATAGATTCTATCCTCATTCCACTCAAGATTTAACATTCATCCTCTCTTCCATGAAGTAGGTTAATTTAACAAGCAAAAATCAACCTTATGGTCCCAACGAAATTATGCAATTTGTTAGGCTCTAATCTCTCATCCCAAAATTACGCAACCTTAGAATTAAACCTAGGATTAAGCAACCCTTAGTTTAGAATCTCCTTAAAACGAAATTAGGGTTAATTGAGCAATACCCCCCTCATTCACCATTAATTCAATTCAAGAGACAAGGAAGAAGTAATTCATGAAAGAAAGGAATTATATTATCATTAAATTCAAGGAACTCAAGAACCCATGTGAATTCACTAAGGATTACACAAACTTAGCCCTCCATGGAAATGGGGGTCAAAAACGCAATTGGGAAATGCAGAAAACTCATTAACATTAATGTAAAAGCAAGAGAAATGAGAAACCAAACCCTAGGTTGGACCCTTGGCTGTCACCCAAGGTTGCCCTAAGCTCTGGAAAATATTCTAAATTGAGTAAAGAAGAGAAAAGGTTCAAAAAGTGTCAGAACTCTCTACCCTAATTTGGTAAAAATCTATTTATACTAAAGCTGGCGCCCTCCAAAGTAGTTACTCTCATTCTTTCATAGTAAATACGTGCAGCATCAGTTGAGTTTTGCCTCTCTGGAGTGATTACTATGAATATTCATAGTAATCACGCGCAACACTGGGACATTTTGGACTCTCTGGAGTTGTCACTATGAATTTTGATAGTAACTACGCGCAGCACCTTCAATTCTGCATGCTCTGGAGTGACTACTATGAATATTCATAGTAACCACGCACAGGTTTGGTTGATTCTGGGCTACTGTAGTTGTCACTTTAAGCTTTGAAAGTGATCACTTTGGTCCCTTTGCTAGAAGTGGCTTGCTGTAGTTGTCACTATCAATATTGAAAGTAGTTACTTTCAACTCAAATTCCTCAAAATCCAATAATTCTTCAAAATAAGCTTAGGGATTCCTGCCATATTATTCAAATGATCAAAATATGTAAAATAATCTATCTAAATTCATGTAAATTAACAAAAAAACTAAGAAAGCTATATTATTTAGCCTAATTGGAATATTCATCTTATTTACACTATCTAAGTCTATTCTTTTCTATAAGAAGTAATAAATGATGTATAAAAATGTAGTAAAATATGGACTCATCACAACCCCAAACTTAAACTTTTGCTTGTCCTCAAGCAAACCAAAATTCAAGGACTAAAGTAAAAAATGTTGGACTTGAATGAATTTTCGGTTACTAGCACTAAATGAGGAAAGATTAAAACTTGCCTCTTGGGTCCTTTGTAGTACACGTGACTTCTAGGGTAAAAAAAAATAGATGATGGCTCTCATTAATGGTCTAACTTAGTGTGCATGGTATCAGAATACTGGAAGACTTAAGTACATCCACTATTAGAACCTAATGAACATTCAATATAAATAAAGAAAGTTACACGTGCAATTCCACTTAAATTTAAGAAGCACATCACACGATCAAATAATAAGAATTAAAAGAACTATGTAACATTAATAACAATCATCAGGGGAATGAAAGAAATAGGGTCCATTCATTTGACTCAAAGACTATCTCGCCCCCAGGCTAATCTCACTAATTAATAATTAACACTCTCTGCCATGTAGACCAAAATTTGGGATGTTACAATGAAAGTAAAGAGAAATCAATAACATCAAGATGAAAATCAAAGAAAAGTGAAGAAGAAATGGAATTCAAACCCTAGGTTGGACCCTTGGCTATCACCCTAGGCTCTCCCAATGTTACGCTTGTGATTTATTATTGAGTAATCTATAATATTTTATATTTGTTAAATGTTAATTGAAGGATTATTTAGTATTGGAATATAATTAGATGGAGTTTAAAATTTATTTTAAAAAAAAGTGAATAGTACTGTATGAACAGTGCCAATGAACAGTAAACCTGCCTATGAACAGTACAAATTA